AGAATTCTTCTATTCACTGGGAAGAATTCTAACTATTCTGGCCTTTTACTAGTTTTGACATTTACACTGCTGTATCCAATATACATGGCTGTATCCAATATACATGCCTTGCTGACCTCATCTTTCTAACCATGGATGTAGATGCAAGAACGGAGCACTGCCGAGTTAAACAGTTTGAACTACTTAGAACCACCTCTTAGAAATGAGGCTCCCAGAGGAAATCAGTGGAATTACTTACAGAACTGGTTTCCTCGAGTAATAGATGTGATTTATATAGCTGAGACTTTGGCTAATCCTTTTATGCAAATGCTGTGACATAATGCAGCAAGTCCATCCATTAGAGAGGAACCCTTCAGATTTCACCAAGACTATCTCTGGGTCAGACAGATGAAACCAATATGTGTAATAATCGCTGATGTTAAACAAATGTAAGCAAACTCCCAAGAGTCATAATATGGAAGGCCCACTTTTAAGAATCTGGCAGGTAAGTGCACAGTACCTGAGGAAAAATGATGTTTTAGGCCTCGTTCTCACCTTACGAGCAGAAAAACTGATGGAAACTGACCTTCAGATTTCACTTACAGAGACATCAGTTTTCATACGCGCCTCAATGAGCTTTATACACATTGCATATTCCTGCGCAGAAAAAAAACTAAACTACACGATACTAGTGTTGTGGTGTGATCAGGGCACATAGAGATCTGATTCTTTTCCTCGAAGAACGTGTGCAGAAAAACTGATGTCTCCGCACCATGGTGTGAATGTTGCAGAGGCCACAGGACAATCGCTTTTATAAACTTAAAAAGGAGCCCTTTTTCTAAGTGTCAATTCTTAAAGTAAATCTAAAGCAAAACTTTTTTTTTTTTTAAATATAGTAGAGAAAGGTTAAAATGGCTTTTTTTTTTTTTTTTTTTTTAAATTAACTGTTAAGGAGACTTTCACTTCCTGTCCCGTATACTCAATTAAAAGTGAGAGGATATCTTTCTAATATGAGGGAAATATTTTCAGATGGTTATCACAAGAAAAAAAAAGTGTCACTGTTCTGGTGGCGACTCAAAATTTTGTATCTACTCTCACTTTAATTCCTGATGACACTGGAGATTAGGACAATTAGAGAGTGAATCTCCCTAAAAGGAGGCAAACCGTAATAAAAACCTGACAGTGATTCGAACTCCTCACCATTCTATCAAAATCCAAAAGAAAAGTTGTGCACACAGTAAACAAAACCAAACAATCAAAATTAATAAATATTGTAGCCACGCTGCTCAGAAAATTCACCAATATGATTAACAATATCCGTGTGCATGGGTCAGCAACCAGTAGATAGCGAACCAGAGCATCAGAGTGCAATACAGAGGGACTACTTGTAAAGCTGGAGCTGTAGTAGGGAGCAGGAGCTGCATAAGTCGATGCCTCCTCTGTAGTGCTGGATCCTTTCCCATGTGGAGGGATATCAACTGCACTCCACCTCTTATCCCGGCTAGAGGCCTCCAGAGTGGTGCCAGCAGCAGGAAAGAAGAGATCTTCAGGTCAGTGTGATGCAATACACAGGGCATAATAGTATAAGCCTGCTTTAACACTGATGAGCTGCGGTTTTCCAACACTGCGGGTGCAGTGCAGCTTTCCTGCGGGTTTGTTGTGCTTAGCCATAAACTTCCATTATATCCTGCGGGTTTCTGAAAGCGCACCAAAACTTCATAGAGTTGCAGGGCGATTGCAGAGTGGCCCCATTTACTTGAATAGGTCATGATTGGCAGGCGGTAGCACCCACCAAAATCACCAGGCCATGTATTCACATTTGGCTGCTGATTGGGGGTGGTAAATCCACGACTCAACCACAGGGATTTACCACCCTCCAACTTTACGTGTGAATGAGCCCCAAGAGTGCAACTGCCAAATGCAACTAAGGGCTCATTCACAAGGAGGTGAGGAGGCGTTAGTGTTGCCTCCTCATCAACCGATTTAAACCCATGACTGCCATGCAATGCACACGATTGCGACATGGTAAAGGTCTAAATCAGGTCGAGTTCTCCCATGTTGTTCAGGTAGACCTCTACCTCTTTAAGGTCACCCACCCCTATCCTAATGATTTCAGTGCTAATGATAATAGTAAATAAAACATATAGCAAACTCACAAAGGCTCAGAGAGAAGTTGGGCGAGGTCCAGGTGACATCAGACACAAATATCAGAAGTACAGTGCCAGTAAAACACTGCATTTGGAAAATAGATCTGTAGATCTTTGGAGATATTACTGTAGTGCACTATTATCACGTGAGTGCAATATTGTTTAACCGTGTCAGTTTGATGTAAATTACTGCACTATGGTGGCTCTACATACTTTTGAGCATTTTTCAGCCTAAAGTCTAAGTGAAAGCAGCGGACAGAAGGAAATACCAAGCCTCTTTTAGGAAAACATACTACTTGTCTAATTGCTGGAGCCAAGTGACAGAGTAGAAGTGACATTAGGCCCATCTTTTTCCCCAATTAAGGGGTGATTTGCCGTATATCTAGATTTGTATATGGGTTCAATTGATAAGGTGAGAGCATAATTGTCTTGGGGGTGGAGCACAGTCTCACGTGTCTGCTGTGGAACACGGATTTGTGGTGGAATGGTGTCACTAAATATACTGATTAACACCATTTGGATATTGTTTAGTCATCACTGTGGATGAACTTTAAAGAATGTCACACTGACCATGTTTAGGTTATAGGTTGGATATACTATTTTCATCAAAACTGAAATCACTGGGATATGGTTTCTCATATTGGTGAATTTACTGAACAGGAGTTATTCTTAATATAATCAATCAAAATTCACTCTGCTGAAATCAGATCAATGCAAACCCGGTGTAAAGGTTTCTAGGACTCACTGCCCTTAAAGTGTTAGTAAACCCACAACAATAAAATCAGTCTGTATATGCAGTAAAACAAGCTTGTTATACTCACTGTGGAACCTAAGGGGTTAAACCTCTGCATTGTGTAAAAGGCTGTTTAATCCTGATTTCACTGCTCCTCCTCTTATTCAAACGTCCATGTCTTGCCTCCTTATAACACAGACTGAACCGTATCCATTCTGCACATACTCAGTTTAGCGTGTATTACTATTTTTTTTTTCTTGGGAGAGTGCATGTGATCAGCACAGGGCCAATCAGCACTGTCCAGACAGAGGTCAGGGGTTTTGCATCCTCCAAGAGCAGAAAGAAAACTCCAGCAGAGCACTGGTTAAAGCTTGTAGGAGGAGAATGAAAATTCCTCCTACAAGCTTTAACCAGTGCTCTGCTGGACACTGATAGAAGTCACAAGACTGCTCTAAGCTGATGCGAAAAGGTATTTAGCAGTTTATATTTACTAAAATAATTGCACTTCCACGTTCTGTGTAATGTGGGAGACCAGATATAGTGAATGCAAGGTCCTGGGTTTAGTAACACTTTAAAATTGTAACTAAAGGAAGCATACTCATCTTCCCAATGCTACCTCACCTGCACCAACATCTCCTGTGTGCCAGGTTTCGTCCATGCTCATTGGCTGGCGCTGGATGTAAACACTCCTGTGCATGCACACAGGATCAGTCCTTCTACTGTAAGATGACCTGCGCATAAGCAACTTAGTTTACAATTGCTGTTAGCAGGCAGGTACGTTTTACTGCAAAAAAAAGACATTGCATGTCTCTTCTGCAATAAAATGCTTACCTGCTCACAGTGTATCATAGCAGAACTTTAGTTCCACTTTAAAGTGGAACTTCACCCAAAAGGGGAAGTTTTGCTTAACTGCATCTTCCCCCCTTCACTGCCACATTTTGCACTTTTTGGGTGAGGAAGGGGGAGCGGGTACCTGGTTTGACAGATACCCGCTCCCACTTCCGGATAAAATCAGCACAGCGATCTTTCGGCCCCTCCTCCCGCATCTTTCCGGCCCCCTCCTCCAGCCTTCTGAGAAACACAAAGGCCCCAGAAGACTGCGGGACCAGAAACACAACACAGCGCGGCTCATGCATGCCCAGTAGGAAACCAGCTGTGAAGCCAGAAGGCCAAGATGCCGGCTCCTGCCCCCTAAGCAGATGGAAGAATCGGCTCGGGTGAGTACTTCCCTGTATCCCTGGCCAGGTAAGTGTCCTATTAAAAGTCAGCAGATACAGTATTTGTAGCTGCTGAATTTAAATTTTTTGGGGGGGGGGGGGGGGACCGGTGATACACTTTAATCTAATGATGAAATCTAGGCACTTATCACGGGTTTCAGAACGAAGTTGTGGGAGTACATAAATGAGGCTGCTCACAGGTGAAAACACACAGCTTGCTTGCCTGGGCTTAGTGACTGAGTGTTGTCAGTGTGGAGCCAGATGTACACTTAGGAACATGAGGAGAAAAGCACAAATAAAAAAAAAAAAAGTGCAACTTCCATCTGCTTTCCATGGTAACAAACTGTCTAGGCCTGTGCCGAATGACATAAAACAGCTGGTACACATGTACAAAAAGTGTCAAAGGAATCCCATGTACCCAATCTGCTACAAGGCAAAACAACATACTAGAAAACAAGGAAGGGATCCCGATTTGGTGGTTTCTGACTACACAACCCTCATATTCAGCAGCACGATGCCACCTTTACATATACTTTATTTAAAAAAGGGTGAGCAGGTAAGTATTTAAGCTTTAGTACAGAAACCTTCCCTCAAACCACCATACACTAAACCCATTAGCCAGATAGGATCCTGACAAATGATGTAAGTGTGCCTGCTGTGCCAAGGTTCTCAGATCTTAGGAGCCTTACACTAATCTTTAAACAAATGCGGAAAAAATGCCACTAAAACATACACTGTTACCTGGGCTCCATTCCAGACCACACATATAATAGCAGAACCATTTCTATTATGTTTTGTTCACTATCAAAGAAGACAACTTAAGCTGGCTATACACAGATGTTTTACATACAGCCTGCAGGCTTAAAATGTTACTAAACCCAGGATCCTGCATTCATTATATCTGGTCTCCCACAGTACACAGACCATGGAAATGCAATTATTTTAGTAAATATAAACTGCTAAATACCTTTTGTCATCAGTTAGAGCAGTCTTGTGACTTCTATCAGTGTCCAGCCGAGCACGTTACAGCTTGTAAGAGGAATTTTCATTCTGCTGTAGGAGGATGCAGGACACCTGACCTCTGTCTGGACAGTGCTGATCACATGCACTCTCCCAAGAGGAAAAAAAAAAAAAAAAACCCTTTCGCAATACATACCAAACTGAGCATGTACAGAGTGACTCCACACAACAATGTCTTATCAACAGATAATAGGGGGACAATGGATAAGGGGAGGGTCAGAGAAGTCAGGATCAAACAGCCTCTTTACACAATGTAGAGGATTAACCGCTTAGATTCCACAGTGAGTATAACAAGCATGCTTTACTGCATATACAGACTGATTTTACTGTTGTGGGTTTAGTAACACTTTAAAGCCCAACTCTAGTAAAACAACCTCTTCCCATGCAATGTGGTTGTGTTAACTCTGCAAGGGTTAACTGCTAATTTCTCTCTAGAGGGAGAGTAAAAGCATTTACATAACCTTACCCCTGGCAGACAGCGCTGCCCCATACCTCAGCTATTGATGATCCCTCACCATCCTCACTCCCAATGTATGGCTGCATTGGTCTTATGATATCAGAGGACCTTAAACAGCTGAAAAGAGGGGGATAAGACTGTGGGAACCAGGGGTGGACTGACAACTCATGGGGCTCCCAGGCAATAGAGGATCAAGGGGCCCCTGTGTCCTTGCCCACACTCAAAGCACACCCAAAAAAGCCTATATAAAAAGGTACCAGGGGCATTTCATGGGGCCCCCTACTGATCCCGGGTACTGTCCAAGTGCTCAAATGGTCAGCCTGCTCCTGGTGGGGACTAGTTTAGTGTAGAGGAGCCTGCAGGAGTAGAGGATCAGGTAAGTGCGGTATCATATCTCCTAAACCTAAATGAGCACTTAACCCTTGTAGTGCAGCACAGAAGTTTTACTTTTCCTTGGAGTTCAGCTTTAATGAAAAAAAAAGAACGCCGTGGATGGACGAATTTTCAGTTCAAACATTGCCTGCATCTGATTAGATGCTATAGCTGTTCAGCCAACAGTCAGCGTACGGCCAGCTTCAGGAAGTTGGTGAGAGGATTAAAGAGGAATTCTTATAGCAGGTCTTCCTTAATCTCTTTGGGTTCATTCATAAAAGATGCATTTGAAAATGCATACAATTTCTGTACTTTACCTTGCATTTTCGCATTCATTGCGATAGGATTTTGAAAGGTTCTTTCAATCAGCTTAAATAGGTATTAAAAACTCACACATTAACTGCTAAATTTGCAGGCGTAATAAAATACAGTAAAAGGGTTGAGATAAACCCATTTACCACAAACAGGGTGCTTACAATGATCAACTTATTTATTCATGTAAAATCCGAAAAGAAAAAAAAAAACTAAAAAAAAAAAAAAACCTGTTGCTGTAACTGCTTGTGTAACTGCAGTAGTAGCTGGAGTTTGCCTTCAATTTGTTAGTGTATCTAAATTTGCTAGTGCATCTAACACACCATCCCCCCAGAATAACAATGCTGATGTTCAAAAGGTGCCGCTGTGCTCATTCATTCACAGGAGTCGTGTTACTGGCCAGATCACCAGGGCGAAAAAAAAAAAAAAAAAGACTAAAAAACGCTTTGAAGAAAAACAAATGATCATATACAAATACAATACACTATGTATGTGCAAAATGCAGTGACCTACCCACAACCACATTTCATGGTTTCCAAGCGGGTCATTTGCACTTCAATGAATCTTCAATTGGGATGGATGGTGCCAGGGTAATGGATATATCTTCCCCATCCTATCTGGTTACATTCTCCTCCATACGGACCATACAGTAAGGATCCAGAAAAGAGACGCCCCATAGTGTAAACCCATTTATTGATATATAAAAGCATACAAAATAATGCACTTACAGGTAAAAAAAGAAGTTGGCGCTTTAAATATTAAGACCAGACCAGCGTGTGTTCCACCACTGAAACTGGAAGTCGGAAATGATGCAATTAGCTCCGCCCAACACATTTCATCATAGTGACGTCATCAGGAGTGGCGCCATCTTACCCCACCTCCTATTTATGTGCAATGGTGACCTAGCAACCAACCCAAACATCCTCTGGCCAACATGTTACTTAAGTCTACATGGCTGCGGATAGTGGGCAAAATTCAGGTTACCAACGGCCAGCACCACACAATCCTGGCAACATACCGATCCTGCGGAAAGTCACCTAAAAAACATTCCTCAGCCACATAAATAAACGTCCAATCCTAAATTAACTTAAAACAATCTAAAATTAAATAAAAAAATTATACAAAATTAAAAAGGGGAAGAAAAGGAAACAAAAAGGCCATACATGTAAAGGTTATATTATCCATATACAGACTGCCATATATAGATTGTAAACAGACCTAATGTCCTGAATGCAGAAAATGAAACCTCAATAGAGACAAACCTTATATACCCTGAACGCATATAATGTGTGATAGGTGGAGACTCACATATCATACATACAGGCACTACAGAAAGCTATGCCTGCAAAAACTAGTAATTGGAAATAAAACAATTGAGATCAATATCTATATTGAGGCCCCTAGGAATCAGACTCCAAAGTATATATCCATTTTGTTTCATTTTGGGACACCTGTGCTGTCATGTTATTACCTTTCCAGTGTGGTTCAATCTTATCTATACCATATAGATATTGATCTCATCAGGAGCAGTTCTAATGCTACCTAGTCCCACAACAAGCCCTTATTAGCTACAAAGCAGCAGAAGAAAGTGCTGATTGGAGGCTTCCTGAGGCAGTCACAGTGAAAGGGATCAGACTTCTGCTACACAGAGCAGCTGCAGGTTCAGTGCAGAATCACTGTACTAGACCTGCGGCGGCTGCCCAGGCCTCCTGGAGCATGGGTGGTGCCGTGATTGCAACTCCTGATGCTATGTCCATGCTGAGACTATATTCTCACACATTCGAGGTAGATGGGGAAATCCTTGCTGTGTCACTGTATTCTGACAATGGGAATCCCCCACCATCATTACACACTGATAAGTGTGCTGCAGCCAATTGGCAGCAAGCGCTGATAGAAGTAAAATTTTCCAGCAGGACCGTTTGTGAGAAATCTATCAATAAATCAATTTTTGTGAATGGGAATGGCCGTACAAAGATCAAAATTCATCTGATTCCTGCTGAACCAGCCACATTTCAATCCATGTATGGCCAGCTTAAGTTTACGGGCAGATCTCACCTCCATTTATTCTCCCTAAACTATGAGCACATCCACGGGCGCCCTACGGTAGGTTGTGCTGTATTTGCTTTGTACAGACTGAGGTCATTGAACTATTTGTTCTAATAGGATTAAGCCGGGTCTGCTGCACTCCCTGTATGCTCATTGACTGCAGACCATGTAAATAAAAGGGATTATCTCACTGATGATACAACCTTATGAATGGTGAATGATAAAGGCATGAGAGTCATTACGTACTATAATCACTGATCTATTGTATTTCCAATTAGGCAAAGATACTCAATAAAGAGTCACCAGACAAACACAGTATTAGATTATATAAAACTCAGCACATACAGTGATAACGCAATTGCATTAGTACATGTCCAGGCACCATCATAAAATAAATGCTTTACCTTTGTACAAATAAAAAAATGAAGAGATAGGAAAAGTAATGGTAAAAATAGAAGTTGAAGAAAATCGGGGTGTGGGCCACACATTTTACAATGCAGCACTATGGACTAACCCTTGCTGCACCACTGCTTTGCTCTTTGAAGTTTGGGGAGGGTGTCAGGAGAAGGAAATGTGTCATATGACAGGGATTTCCCATGCAGGTGGACTCATTACAGCACACACCCCATAAGATACTGAAGGCTCCACCACTGTGCTGTGCATTTTTATAAATAAAAGCAATTAGAGCGATATCCTGTGGTGTGTTAAAAAGCAGGAACTGTTTTAAATGGGTCCCAGAATAATTTATTGCCAGGAGAGTCTGTAGGACTACTTCAACATGCAAAAATGTAACCAGAGAGGATCTTTTACTGTTAAAGTAAATTGTCTGAAATCTGCTTGTTGCTATGCGTTATTGCATAAAATCCAGGTTCATGTGAAAGACATTGCTGTAGATATGTATACACAGTACTTTATCAAGTGAATGTCTTAAAACAAAGAATAATCTGTCCCTACTCCACATATTGCTAGAAAGATATTCCATTAAAGTGTTAACACCAGTCTTCTATGCCTGCTTTAGCTGAAGCAGGAGCTGTGCTAACAGACCCCATGCAGAACAGCATGATTCACAAACATAAGTTAATAAACTGGAAAATAACGGAGTAATTCAAAGAAAATTATGTTTTAGATTTGCAGAGGGAGAATATTTTATCATGGGAGAAAGACTGAACCATTTTTATATAAATAGAAAAACCACAATGTACAGTTACTGGCCTCTAAGCTGTCGTCCCCATAGACTCTAGATTAAAATCAGGCGGATCAAGTATCAAGCAGTATTAAGTTATACCCATCAAGTACAATAAAGGTCCTCTCAAACCAATCTTTCGATTTTGGATGGAGGGACAGAGTTCAATCCTCCACCAGAACCCTGTCAGAACCCTATGTATCTCCTTATGCACATATATGCGCAAAGATAATATCTACAGCACTGTCAGTTCGAAGGACTTCATAAATACAAAGATGAAGTCACTTGAACTATGCTAGAGAGGGGGTGGGGGAATACTACTAGCAGGAAAACTTTGGCAACAGATAAGAAGTGACATCTCTTGCCATGTGCCAAGAGGGACTAGATCTTTAGATGGGAATCACATGGAGCGCTGGGGGTTGGGAGCAATGACTAGCAGCTAATTTATTTTCCTACATTGTGTAGGAGCAAAGTATTTTTTTTCATCCTTCATACACCTAAAACCAGCAAAACATTGAAAAAACAAAAAAACACAAAATAATGGCTTACCAACGTTGCAGCTAACAGTATATTCCCATTTTACATACCAAATACAGGGCAGTTTATTTTACAGGTATTTATACAGTGCTGTCAATTTACACAGTGCTTTACATATATATTATACATTCACATCAGTTCCTAACCCTCAAACTTTAACCTTGTCCTATTTATAACAGTCAATGTATTATTTATTTCAGTTTAAAAGCAGCGTGTGTGTGTACACACACACACATATACATATACATACATACACACATATATATATATACACACACATACACACGCAATAAGAAGTCCTTGAGTACAGAAAATG